TGTAGTAAGATGATAAACTTTAGTACTAAAAAGTGGTATAACAYATTCTAGTCTGAGAAGAATTAAAAAATGACGTGTCAAAGTTAAAATGCGTCCTACATACCCAAGGCATACCATTAAAGCGAATAACTACACTTTGTAGCTTCTCGGTGCAAACTTCAATCTCAGCCGCCTCTCTCAGAAGTTGTTGGAGTGAAATCCAAAGTAAACTGAGAAAAACAGCAAACGAGATCACGATAAAAATATACCTTTGACATCTCCATAGCAACAATATTAGGATMTTCTTCATTATGAATTTTCGTAATCAGCGAGGACTAGTGAAACCAATCGAAKAGGCACGTACATCTTTAGCSAGTTTCTTTAAAAATAAAAACATTAGGAAAAACAAAACAATATCGTTTCCTCGAGTGTTTCTTTTTTTTGTTTTTCTTGAATACAAAATAACGTAATTGACTTCCCCTGATCAGACGTCATTTAAAGATATCAGCCAAAGCCATAGAAAGGTAGAAAATGCTAGACTCGTGTCTTAGCATCAATTACTCTCTGATATATCTTTTAATGAAGTTGTTGTTTCATTATGTGCGTAATTCTGTTATTTTCCGGAGTTTAGTACTTGTTTTGCAACAATGCAGCGTCGGTTTTTAGAAAACGAGAGAAAAATAAGGTTATGAAATTTATAAAGTCCTGTAAAAAAAGAGTTTTATTTATTTTTATTTTCATGGACCTTCTGGCTTCTGACTGACTAACGAATAATCACACAATTCACTAAAGTGACCTACAATAGCTATTCGTGTGCTGTACAAGCTMTTAAACCTCACTCGTTCTGTTTTAGATGTGCAAAATAATGTGTTTTTACTCAGATGCAATGTTATTTATAAGTGACTGAAGWGCATAACTACTTATTACACATGTACTATGTATTTTTTTAAGGTGCTCGATGTTTTTTTCAGACATACCGACTTATCATATGAGAAACACAAGATGGACACGCAAGGACATATTATTAACCTTGGGAAGCTAACAGTCTCAGATTTACCGTAAAAATAGATTAAAATGTCTCGTGCTAAGATAATCCTTTATGAAGAAGTTTTTTATTTGACTAAAGGAGGGAAATTTATCATTCATCAATGGAAGCTCCTTATGACTAAACGTTTGTTGACAGTATTTCCCCCCAAAAAAGATGTGACGATCTAATAAGGAGTTTAAATGCCAGAATTTTTGCCAGTTCATATTGGAAGATAAAGATTTCCAATCGAATTAGGAAATTGAAAAAAACTCAATTTAGGAATTATCGCTGAAAGAATTTCATATAAAGAGTTTATAAGACTTGATATTCTCTTATTTCTTCATTAGTGCGAACAATATCAATTTTAATTTCATTGGTGATTACATAACATTATCCGCATGGGACTTTACTCAATCTTGTTATAACTTTCTGTTTTTGAATATCTCAATGTAATTTTCTCTTGAGAATGACGCCGGATAGCGTCGAAACGTCGAGCACAACATTAAAATGTTAACCAACACAAACTTACTTGCGTTAGTTTTTACTTTACAAGATTACAATGAATTAATTAAAAATTAAAGAGAAACGTGACTTTGTCACATTTTGGAGGAGTTTCTAAGATAAAATATGGAAGAGAAATGTGACATGATTGAAATTGTCAACTAATCATAATCAACTAATCAACTGATTGCAGTAGTTCTGGATAAGAAGATCTAAGTAACAAAATTAGCATAGTGTTATATCTCAAATCTCACTTTCAGTTCTATGGAATGTGAAGCCTGCCTTGGCCTGTGACAAATTAACCAAGCTATTGTTCTCTTTGTTTTAATGCTAGTTTTTATTTTTTTAAATCAGAGGAAAAAGTCTAGTCATTGGGATTAACTATAGTTGAATTGAGCTAGAGTTAGCATTATGTAATTAACGTTGAATGACGGCTGAGCTAGGCAAAAATTTGTAACACCTAGTCCAGCTACAATATTGGGAAATAACGATGTAATAATAATAATAATAATAATAATAATAATAGTTTATTAGTACTCTCTTGCAGTTCAGGGAACTGAATTAACAAGTAATTGTTACAAATTCTAGTATAAATGATAAAATTGCTATTTACAAATTATTCAAACTATATAATTTATATGATTAATTAAAGTATCGGAATGTAAAAAAGTTCGTCGATCTCTTGGTTCTGCATTGCGACACAGAATTGTACAGATAAAACTTAGGCGAGTTCCTCCTTAGATTATATTTTGATGCTGGTGCAGGTCTGGGTAGAAGATGATGTATGGGATGTTGTGGGGATTTCATTTGATTCATATACTTAGTGCATAAATAGTCTCTTCTAATTTCCAGTCGATCTAATTGAGCCAGTTGTAGGGTGTGTGTATAAGATTCGGCCTCAGGGTAGATGTAACCAGTTAATGTGGCAGCGGAGGGAAACAATCGAGTCATTGGCCTGATTAGMTATCTTTCCAGTTAGAAGTTGAGTTGAGTTAGAGTTAGCATTGAGTTAGGGTTGCATTGAATGACTGCTGAGTTTGGTAAAAAAATGTAACACTGGCTAAAAGATAGAAAGTAACGATGTAACTTTCATGTAACAGCGCGTTGGTTGAAGAAAAGAGACCCACCCCAAAAAATTGTTGCTGTTTCTKATTTTATGCAATCTATCAGACTGTTCACAATTCAATTCTTTCCAATGAAGTAGATGTAATAACAGACCCAGTTCTATCTTTTTTCTTCTTTCCTACATTTCCTCATTTTGAAAAGACTCGGGTACACAAGTGTTTGCGATAGAACTTTTTTGKTGAATGTGTGGCAGGCATATGTGTATGTGTCTGTGGAGMATCTATGTCGATATGGTTGCAGAKAATGTATGTGTATATGACAGTAGAGAATGTACCATATTCGTACTAATTTTCGCAARCTTTTAATTTTGAGAATTTTGAAATCAAATATTTTTCRCGRACATTAATTTTCGCGATCAAAAAAAGTATAAATTTAGTTCARTCATCTATTTTCGCGAAAATTGGAAAACAGGCGGACTGAGAGACAAATCCTTTTTTCATTGGATGATTACTTAAATAGTAATTGATTAACAATGAATTGTTATATAAAGAAGTAAARAAGTGAATTGCCCTTTATCTAAACGAGCAGGAGACTGTGTACTAGTTATCTAAATTAACCTAATTAAAAAAATCAATCATATCATTGGAAAGACCACCATAAAATAAACAAGATTCCAAAGTTTGCCTGCTTTTCGTTAAATAATGTGTAAGAAATGGACCTTCAAAATTTTCGATAATTACAAGGAAATGTATGGTTTGGATGGACAGTGTTATATACCGTGTATTTAGTTAAAATTTAGGTCCCCCCACCTCCACCCCCCGGCATTTGTAAGGCAGCCTACCTACAGGCATGCAAGAAAGCGGTTAACACTAAACAAACAGGGCAAAACAGAGCGCGATCAATACTTAGCCCAATGTAAGTAAAGTGTTTATGAGTCTTAAGGTCTAAAATCAAACTCCATATACCATTCCTGTGTATATAGAAATAAGTGCCCTTTAGCTAGCAAGACAAAAACAGTACGTACTTATCTATTGACGACAGTAACAAATACGCGACGAAGATGTTTCCTTTCATCGTTAATCCTTTCAGTCAGTTGTCAAAACGCTAAACCAACAAAACGATTTTATGCTAAGTGATATACAATTTATCTGATAAGATTCAAAGAAAAGCAGCTTTTATAGAGGACGAATTTTGCTTTCCGGCAGTGAACTACTAGCCATTCGTCTTCGTTATTTAAATTGTTGTCGCTATTGGCACTTATTTAATGTTTTACTTGTTGCTTTTCTTCGCTTAAAGATCGTGCGAAATGCGATATACTTTGGCCAGCCGTATTTTTACTTCATTTGTTCGTAACAAATTAATGTACACGTAGAAAATTTGCCTGATAACTGTCTGCTGAAAATACGCACTTGTCACACCAGTTTTTTCTCTTTGTTTCGTTCTTGGTTTTGCTTTTTTTTCTTTTCTCTCTTTTATTTTTTTACGTTCCCAGCGCTTGTACAGCGAGTATATCTAACAATTGTTACCCCGCCCTCATCCCCAACAGCAGTTACAACCTCTTCACAATCTGGCGATGTTTGCAGCGTTGTGGGGTCATACGAAATTAAAAAAAAACTTATGAAGTTTTACTCTGTGCACTTAGATGAGCTAACGAGACTTACCCAATCATAGAAGACTGCTATACGTCTAATGTATTCAGCAAAAAGCAATTCTGGAACTTTCGACCTGAAAGAAGGAGATATCACTGAGAAATGTTGGTGCAATTAAGACTAAAACAAGAGTCTTGAGTCTTTATATATGTATAGCCCGGTCTAAGAAGTAAAAAAAGTACATTTTCAAATAATAGACAGATTATATTTRCAGATGATAAACACATGTCGAGGAAAATTCCGCCCCTGATTGACTAGATTAGCACTACTAAGATATCGAGCACTATTCTGTAAGTGGGAAAGAAAACAAAAGGGCGACTCAAGTTAATTGACAAAATCTTAYCAAGTTCTACTAGTAAAAAAATATTCATTACTSAAAATCAAAAAGTTGTGAAACATGGGTAGTTACAAATCAATTATTCAACTCAATATTGAAACTAAGAAATKTATACACAAATTGGATTGAGAATCAATTATTATAAGTTTCCATAAAAAAACTGCCACGTTTTGATTATGCACGACGAGATACCACAGATCCCAGTGTGAAATCTGGAAATACTTTTCAATGCCATATATCATCCCTAACCATCAGTATTTAATAGTATAATAGATAACGTGGGACTCGAYAAGGGTTGCCATCATCTTCCAGACTACCTCATCAACCCCCCGCAATGGAGAAGCTAGWATTCTATCTCTAACACGTTGACACTTTCTTGTTGAACTTGTCTATATAGCCTTTGCGTTGTTCAGTTAGCATCTGAGAATGTCGCTGTGAGACGATACACAAAGTTTCGAGTTAAAAAGAGAAAGTTTTAGACGAATGCCTAGATGTTTTGTAGTGTGCAAAGCAGGCGTCCCCGGAGGAAGGCTAGGCCTTAAAACTGACAATTAATTAAGAAATGCGTAAATGTTTATTATGTTCAACAAGATTTAAAATAAAATAACTGTCATGATAGAATGATATAAGAAAAGAAATTGCCTGGTTATTTTATGATCAATTGACTATGGAAAACGCCGAACTATTCATTAACCTAGAATGAAGATGGTTCAGCAATCAATCACTGATTGTCAAAGACTTTTATAAAATAGGTTATTGTGTATGAATTGTGGACTTTTTTTTATAGGGATTTTTAGTAATAACATTAGATTCGAATTCATTAAAATGTTTAATTTTCAAATGATTTTCATTTTGATTTAWATGAGTGACGTATTTTTTTGGCACAAAACATCGCAAAAAAATCAATGCAGTTTCAAAGAAAAAAAAGAAAGAAAAAGGAAACAGCACAAGATTAATATTCGCAATTTTTTCCTCGTGTTATTTTCGGCGATTTCAATGCTCTTTCAAATGCGATTCAATAGCAGATCAGATCAGATGGTTAAGCAGCAGCCATTCAAGTAAATCAAGGCACGCAATGAAAGGGCGTTTTTGTTAAAATKTTGAATATGAATGGGTAAAACTCTTTGAAAAGGTAATTAATCCTACTCAAAAACTCTCAGATGAATAAAAAACAACAACGTGATAATCAAAATGGCATAAACTTTCACAAATACCTTCTGAAGAAGAAGCAACGATTTGGAATTATATTAGTGATAATACTATTAGTTGAGGAGCCTGTAGACACTCATCCTCGAATGCGCTTTGCATTGATATATACATRCACTTAAAGTAGATCGATTCCTGTGTTTCATTGCTACGAATAAATTAGCCCCTAAGGCAGGCCTGAACGATGTTTCTTGAAAAGACCCGATGCCATGGATGCATAGAAGTTTGCCGCACCTGCTGGAAGCTATGACGGTGTTTGATTGTAAATAGCACAGCTGACATTATCAATATATTTTTGATTCATWAACAGAACTTTCAGGAAATTAATTGAGCTATAATGTTGTATCAAATTCTGCCATTCGTTTTTTTCTCTGGTATTAAAAAAATATATTTATGCACGCCCCAAAGTTATTGAGGGTATCGAGTATTGATAACAATGATTAAGCAATCAAAGACAGTCAGAAGTGCCGTCTCCATTAAACAAAGATGTTCGATAATGGTTTGTATAGATGTTTTCGAGTGAATATTATCCCAAAATTTTTTAGATATATGAAAGTGCAGTTTCATTGGCTGATGACTATGTTTATGTCAGTGGTCAAAGCCGACATGATTTGCCGCTCTTGTCCGCTCGAAAAGGAAGATGTATTACTAATACGACCGATTGAGACTTAAAGTTTAACTAATACGACCGATTGAGACTCAAAGTTTAACTAATACGACCGATTGAGACTTAAAGTATAACTAATACGACCGACTGAGACGATTAAAGTATGAGCCCAGTGGGAGATGAAGAGCAGGCGAGGATAAAAATGAACATTCACTGACTTCACAACTCCTATGGCGATTGGCAATAATCTAAGGGCAGTATGCCCGACCGAAAGGAGCCATCATGATATATACTATATATATTGTGTCTGGTAAACATTCGCTCAACTAATTTGTCTCTTTTTTCACACAAGGTGATCCAGCAGTTTTGAAAATTTTGCATGGCAAAGAGTATAGCCAACAATTCCTTTCGGTCATACAATCTCCGTTAGACAATCCGCCGTTTACTGTTCTCCTCGATAACTTTTTTTGTGTGTGAATATATCAGAAGGGTATATCAGAGAAGCTTGGCGCGCGACCTTTCTATTTTTTTTTTACAAATTTTAAAGTGCACAGAAATGTTCGCTTGTGTATTTTTGCCGCTCTTTCCGAAACCTTTTTCAACAAATATTTGCATCATTGACGGAAAAAAAGTCGATTTAAATTGAGGTATAGTATATTTTTTAACAATATAACAAGTGTACATGCCTTGTTCCTTGGAAGTTAAAAAAATGCCTAAATAAATAGCAGGAAATCATCTAAAATAGCGCACAGCAGGGTTACATAGATTTGCAAGTTCAAGAATATCGCGAATATCGAGATTCCACCAGAACAAAAACCTGTTTGTCAATAGACTCTCMATACGATATTGTAATCTAGATTTTCATGGTAAAGCTCAAAAACAAAATGTATGGACTGATAATGTGGATTAAAGGTGGTTCGATGAGGTGGGGGTGGTGCATCGGTTATTATGGTTACTGACCAATAAATATACACCTACTTGCAGAAACGTTGTCATAGGAAATAGGACATTTGTATTTAGTAAAAAGGAATAAATGAAAAAGAACAAACTGGAAGATCACTGAGGCCGAACGCTTTCTTTTGTCTTGTTTTAATTAATCCCTTTTTACTAAATTCAAATGTTCTATTTTCTATGACAACGTTTCTGCAAGTAGGTGTATATAGAAATATTATTTCATAATAGATAAATAGCACATTGCAGCTCCGATGCAATTTACGCGACCGGCGGAAGCGGTCGTATCTAGGGGGTTCGCGGGCATGCTTCCCCAAAACATTTTGAAATTCAGACAATCGGAAACGTGATTTACAGCGTTTTGACAAGCATTTGTGACTTTTTTATCTTACATCATTGATCGAACTTTTTTAATTTGGATACGAATTAAAGAAAACTCGATAAAATTTTACCGAGGCAAGTGCCTCGTTTGCCTGATCATAGATACGGCGCTGCATTGAATCTGAATTGGAATCTTTCTGAATATAGTTTGGGAAATGAGGGAATGACTAGGAAGCTTTTTGTTATAGGTTTTTGTGCACTTTTTTCCAAGCGTGACAGTGCACAATCTTTTGTTTAACTATTGTTTTAGCCATACTGGTCACATCTGAATGAACAGAGCGAAATTTATTCAGTTTTGACTATTTCTTTAAAATGCACAAACATTTTTTAGCCAATATTGAAATATTTTATTTCATAATCCCGTATAGAGTGCTCATGTTCACTCATTTTGCAATTTCTATCGTCCGTAAGAAAAGCCTTGTGCACGCTCTTGACTGATTCAACCTCAAAATACATACAAAAGATGTACAAAAGAAGTACAACAAAAGGTTTTCAAACCATTCCAATATATTAATTATGTTCTGTAAAAAAAAACAACAAACAAACCAAAACAAAACAGACAAAAAAAAAAACAGC